TTACAATTTTCATTTTTACAGAGAATTATTAAAAGATTGGTGGAATTTTTTTGACTGACCTAATGAATTGATTAATGTTAAAACCATACCTATGAGAAAGACTTGAAAGTATCGGATGGTTGTGTTTGTATAGATTATCAGTATTTTTTATTTATTAGTATTTTTCAAATAGAGTTATGGAGATCAGTGATTTTTACACATTGACATCATCAATCAATTATTGTTAGACCATCACCATTAGAAACCTGGAAGTACTGAACGGCTGCTTTACCATGTGCTCACTAGTGACTAGTTTTGTGAAGAAATTCTCGGAGTTCTAGTGAGAAGACATGATCAGTAGAGTTCAATATTGTTCGGATGTAGGTAGTAACTACCAAAGACAAATGGATGAGGTTACGCGAAATCTGTAGGTCAATCAAAGTTAGACATTAACACCGTTGGATACCAGCTCAGTGGTCCGATGGTTAGGCGTTCGCGCACAATACCGAAGGTCCCGGGTTCGAATCCTGAGAGGTGCAGCAGTCGTGGATGTGCACTGCCACTGATGAGTCAGTCCCATATCAGAATGATACGGCCGTCCAGTGCTTCCAGTGGTGGTCTAACAATGATTGATTGATGATTTCAAATGTGTATTTATCAGTCAGTCAGTCAGTCAGTCAGTGAGATGCAACGTAGAACTTTGTACATAAGTACATCAGTTCATGTCGCCATACCACATCAGCACAAAGAAGTAATCGTCAATTCAAATCCAATAGTAGTAGTAGAGGTAGTAAAGGTATTAGAAGTAATCGGAGAGGTTAGGATTAGAAGATATTATTCAAGAAGTATGATTCAATGAGAAAAGTTTAGAAAGTCAAAACTAGAGGTGTTGAAGAATCCAGAAGATTAAGATTTGAGAGAACACAGAGAATAAATGCACCGGCGCCATTGCGAACGATTTTGAGCCATGTCATTCAAGGTCTCTAACCATCGATTATTATGATCTCGCGGACCCCAACCAGGTAGTCGACAATTACCGACATGGCTAAGTCCACTCGTCAATGACTTCATGGATTTGTGCCATGTTTTGGTTTGGCCGCCCCTAACTTTCTTCCAACCTATTCCTACACTACAAAACAAAGTTCGTCGAGGCAGTCGATGGTTGGGCATACGCAACACATGTCCCAACCACCTCAAAGGATGAAGTGTCACTACTGCGTGTATTGATCTACCATTCTTACCTATCACCCAATTCCTAATAACAGAGTTGCTCACTCGGTTGTCCCATGATATACGAGCAATGCTTCGAAGACACTTGTGATCGAAAACCATTAACCTACGAATATCTTCTACTCTCACTGGCCATGTTTCACAGCCATAAAGTAAGACGGAGCGAACCACTGCACAGTACACTCGTCCTCTATTCAGCAAACGGATATCTCGCCTACGCCATAAGTGACGCAGGTTGGCAAAAGCCAATCGAGCCTTCTGTATCCTTGCTGAGATTTCGTCAGTCACCAAGCCATCGGCACTGATGAGACTCCCAAGATAAGTGAAGCGGTCTACACGTTCGTTATTATGTCTACATGAACGATTGTCTGAAATAAACTACTTGTCCAGCTGAATTCATCGTATTTGGCTTCTCATTACTGCCCCATCCAACCAAACAGGGTTCGCCCTAAATATAATATACCGGAAACTGATGATGGGTGATCGATTTATTTTTGATCAGCATACTCCCTCCATTGGTCATACTAAGCATTAGAGCTGGTCAGGAGCCGTCAAAGTACTAAGTCGTGTACATTGAATTTAATAACGCACCGTAAATCGGTAAGCCGGACATTGAATAATCGAACACCTACTCAACAACCTATTGTGTGTAGTGTTAGCGTCATGCTTCACTCTTTAAACAGTAAATTTTGATGCGACACTCTGTTGTATATTCACTGACTGTTGCTACTCATAAGCCACTGGTGTATATGTTGTATACGCTAAACTAGGTCTTTCGATGTCACACGTAACACGCTTAACTTTTTATACCCACAGACATAGACCTGGGACTGTTGTCTTACGGGAGATACGTTCGTTGTTACCAGAAGAGTACTGAGCTCTTAATCCGTAAGCTTCCTTTCCATGATTCGTTCCGAGAAATCGCTCAAGACTTCAAAACTGACCTTTGTTTCCAGAGTTCAACCATGAAGCATACTTAGGCAGGTTGTTCGGGGACAGTAATTTGTGTACCATCCATGCTAAGCGTGTTACGATTATGCCAAAAGATATCCAACTTGCTCGACGCATTCTCGTAGTGAACAAGCTTAGATATATGTCAATTATTGTTATTATTGGGTTACACGTTAAATGCTTACGTTTCCTAATAAGAAGAAGAAGAACAGTATTATCAACAATGATATCGATTTTGCATTATATTATAATGGAGATCGTTGTTTTGCGTTGAAGTCATCATGCTTCAAGATTGGGTTACATCGGCACCTGAACTAGTGATAGGGAGTGAAGTAGTCGAACGTGTAGACCGCTTCACTTATCTTGGGAGTCTCATCAGTGCTGATGGCCTGGTGACTGACGAAATCTCAGCACGGATACAGAAAGCTCGATTGGCTTTTGCCAACCTGCGTCACTTATGGCGTAGGCGAGATATCCGTTCGCTGACGAAAGGACGGGTGTACTGCGCAGCCGTTCGCTCTGTCCTACTGTACGGATGCGAGACTTGGCCGTTATGAGTTGAGGACTTTCGTAGGTTACTAGTCTTCGATCATCGATGTCTCCGAAGCATTGCTCGAGCATCTTGGGACAACCGAGTATGCAATGCTGTCGCTAAGAAACGAGCAATAGGTAGGGACGGCAGATCAATGGATGAAATATTGAAACTTCATCAGTTGAGGTGGTTGGGACATGTGTTACGTATGCCTAAACACAGACTGCCTGGTTGGGCTATATTTCGCGGTGTAGAAATAATTTGGAAGTTAGGTGCGGCCAGACCAAAACATGGCAGAAATGCATAAAGTCACTGACAAGTGGACTGAGTCTTGTTGGTAGATGTAGGCTACCTGGTTGGGGTCCGCGAAACGATAGTCACCAATGGTTAGAGACGTTGAAAGACATGGCTCAGAATGGTTTGCCATGGCATTGATGCATCCACTCTTCGTGTTCTATGAAATTCTAAGCTTCTGCACTCCTCATAATCTCTACCTTTCTTCTTCTAAATTTATCTAACTAAATTATACTTCTCGAATAATATCTTCGCTCACTAATCTTCCTGATTACTGCTAATACTTCTATTATTGCTATCGCTCTTGGATTTAAACAGACAGTTGCATCTCTTGCTGACGTCGTGGTATGGCAACGTGAACTGATGTACTTACGTACAAAGTTCTGCGTTGTATCTGTCTGTCTGAAGTCATGATGAATCTATCAATGTTAGACCAGCACCATTGGAAATCTGGGAAGCACTGGATGATGGCCGTTTCGTATTGAAACCGTATGAGATGATGTGGTTGGGATATATGTTGCGTATACCTAACCGCCGACTGCTTCGTCGAGCTATCTATGCTTTGCAATGTTAAAATAGGTTGGAAGAAATCTAGGGGCGACCAACCCAGAATGAGGCACAAATCCATGAAGTCACTGAAAAGTGGATTGAGTGACGTTGGTAGGTGGTAGGTGTAGACTACGTGGTTGGGACCCGCGAGATGTTAATAGTCGATGATTAGAGACCTTGAATGACATCGATCAAAATCGTTCGCCATGACACAGATGCATTCATTCTTTATGTTCTCTCAAATCCTAACCTTCTAAATTCCTCACCACCTTTATCTTTCTCGTTTTGAGTTTCTTTCGCTAGATTTTACTTCTTAAATAATATCTTCGAACCTTAAACTCTCATATTACTACTAGTACTTCTACTTGATCTACTACTATGGGATTTGAATTGAAAATTGCGTCTCTCTGTGCTAATGTAGCATGGCAGCCTGAACTGATGTACATACGTACGAAGTTCTATGTTGTTGTTGTTGACTGACTAACTGATTGATTCACTCACTATATTGACTAAATTTAAGAGATAATTTCTGAAAATGTTGCGGTCAACCTTGTCTGTCATCCATCGTAATGGTATTAGGATGACAGTAGTCATAAATCTTTTCAAAGTGAACTATTGAATACATCGTATACACTGGCTAAGTGATTTGACAATTGAACATTCATCTCGTTATTTGCAAGTTCAACGTTTTATCCTTAATTGATCGGTCGTTCATGTATTCTACTGAGGAGTATGAGTAGTGGGAGCCTTATACTAATGTAATAATATACAAACAAGTCAAGACTGAATAATACAACATCAGCTTGTTTACAAAATTACATGCACATAGTATGTTCAATCAGGTCCTACTACTAATTGACACTGACTGACTGACTGATTCTATCTGGTCTTCAAAATGTGACACTTGGATGATTTACACATTTTTGAAACCATGAAACGATCAATGTTAGACCACACCATTAGAAACCTGGAAGCACTGGACGGCCGTTTCGTCCTGGTATGGGACTCCTCAGCAGTGCGCATCCACGACTCCTGCATCCCGCAGGATTCGAACCCAGGACCTTCGGTATTGTGCGCGAACGCCCTAACCGTTAGACCAAATTCACGGAGTTGCGCAACCTCATACACAGTCTTCAGTAGTAGTGACTGCCTACACCCGAACAGGTTGAACTTCACTGGTCACGTCTTCCCACTAGAACTCGGAGAAGATTCCTCACGAAGCTAGTCACTAGTGGGCACAGGTAATTTTCATTACAAGGGTTGTGAAGATTGATAAGTTACACATTTTCGAAACCATGAATCGATCAATGTTAGACCACCATTAGAAACCTGGATCATTTGACAATTGTCTATTGTGGTTTTAGCAAGAAATAAACAAAATTTGTTTTAAGAAGTATGTTATCCCTCCCTATAAACTTGTAAATCATAATCATATCAATTGATCATAGTTACACAATACATTCTCATGGATTACATGTGTGTGTTTCTGTTTTTATTTTGCATTTGTTCATTCATGCATCAAATGTGTGTGTGTGTGGATGTGTGTACGCGCGCGCGCACGCGGATAAACACCTTCACATCGTTGTTGTCACTCCAATCAGATGTGAAACCATCCAATATTCTCATTGACTGTAATGATGGTGGTCATGTGAAATTATGTGATTTTGGTATTTCTGGTCAATTGGTCGATAGTATTGCTCGATCACGTGATGCTGGTTGTAAACCATATATGGCAGTAAGTGTAACTTGTGCATGAGTCGATTTTTTTGTTGAAATTAACAGATGATTCAAGGTATTTTCTTTTCTGTTGATTATTTGTTTTCCTGTTGTTGTTGTTGTTGGTGATGGTGTTGTTAGTGATCGATCGATTTCACTTATCATCGTCTCATCCATGCTGACAAAATCTGGGTGTAGGGATGAATGATGAAGAAGGTTCGATTGGCTTTTGCCAACTTGCATTATTTATAGTGTAGTCGAGATATGTGCGTTTGATAACCAAAAGGACGAGTGTACTTACTGTGCAGCAGTTTTGCTATGTCTTAATTTACGGGGTATGGATTCGTGGATAGAGGAAGAATTAGAAGATATTCGTAGGCTTTTTTTTGTTTTAGATCATAGGTACTAGGTAAGGATGGCAGATCAGTAGATGATGTATTGAAACTTCATCAGTTGACATGGTTGGGACATGTGTGATTATGTTTGCCCGACCACCGACTGCCTCAACTAGCTTTGTTTTTTTGGAGTAGAACTAAGTTGAAAGAACTCTGAGGGGTTGGCTAAACCAAAACATGGCACAAATCCATGAAGTTATTGACAACTGGACTCAGTCATGTTGGTAGTGTGGTGTGAGCTACTTATAAGTAGTATATGACGTGAGTGTCAACGTAATGTCTGGCAGCGGAAGATGGGGGGAAGATCAAGAAAGGAAGAGTTAGAAAACAATGGAATTTGTATGAAACGTATGAATAGTGACAATGGATTGATGATGTTTTGTAGAGAGTTGCTGATGATGGTCATGCTACCATATGCTTTGATTATATTCATTTAAGAATAAATTTCATTTCTTTTAAAAAAATATTATGAACAGAAGAATTCATGAACCATAGACGGAAATCGATACACTAGATCATATTCATACTACTGCTACTACTACTACTAATAATAATAATGATAATCACACTTTTATTCTTTCTTGTTTAATTTAATAAAATGCGCAAAAAGTTTAGTTGCTTAAATCATAAACTTTGATGAAACCGCTCTGATTTTTTGTTTGTGAAATTGATTTATCTTTTTTCTCTCTTCAAAAAAGAAAAATTTTTGTTTTAACATTTGAATTATAACTCATTAGACAATTTTTGTCTAATTTCAATCATATCTATCTATCTATCTAGTTAGTTAGTTAGTTAGTTAGTTAGTTAGTTAGTTAGTTAGTTAGTTAGTTAGTTAGTTAGTTAGTTAGTTAGTTAGTTAGTTAGTTAGTTAGTTAGTTAGTTAGTTAGTTAGTTAGTTAGTTAGTTAGTTAGTTAGTTAGTTAGTTAGTTAGTTAGTTAGTTAGTTAGTTAGTTAGTTAGTTAGTTAGTTAGTTAGTTAGTTAGTTAGTTAGTTAGTTAGTTAGTTAGTTAGTTAGTTAGTTAGTTAGTTAGTTAGTTAGTTAGTTAGTTAGTTAGTTAGTTAGTTAGTTAGTTAGTTAGTTAGTTAGTTAGTTAGTTAGTTAGTTAGTTAGTTAGTTAGTTAGTTAGTTAGTTAGTTAGTTAGTTAGTTAGTTAGTTAGTTAGTTAGTTAGTTAGTTAGTTAGTTAGTTAGTTAGTTAGTTAGTTAGTTAGTTAGTTAGTTAGTTAGTTAGTTAGTTAGTTAGTTAGTTAGTTAGTTAGTTAGTTAGTTAGTTAGTTAGTTAGTTAGTTAGTTAGTTAGTTAGTTAGTTAGTTAGTTAGTTAGTTAGTTAGTTAGTTAGTTAGTTAGTTAGTTAGTTAGTTAGTTAGTTAGTTAGTTAGTTAGTTAGTTAGTTAGTTAGTTAGTTAGTTAGTTAGTTAGTTAGTTAGTTAGTTAGTTAGTTAGTTAGTTAGTTAGTTAGTTAGTTAGTTAGTTAGTTAGTTAGTTAGTTAGTTAGTTAGTTAGTTAGTTAGTTAGTTAGTTAGTTAGTTAGTTAGTTAGTTAGTTAGTTAGTTAGTTAGTTAGTTAGTTAGTTAGTTAGTTAGTTAGTTAGTTAGTTAGTTAGTTAGTTAGTTAGTTAGTTAGTTAGTTAGTTAGTTAGTTAGTTAGTTAGTTAGTTAGTTAGTTAGTTAGTTAGTTAGTTAGTTAGTTAGTTAGTTAGTTAGTTAGTTAGTTAGTTAGTTAGTTAGTTAGTTAGTTAGTTAGTTAGTTAGTTAGTTAGTTAGTTAGTTAGTTAGTTAGTTAGTTAGTTAGTTAGTTAGTTAGTTAGTTAGTTAGTTAGTTAGTTAGTTAGTTAGTTAGTTAGTTAGTTAGTTAGTTAGTTAGTTAGTTAGTTAGTTAGTTAGTTAGTTAGTTAGTTAGTTAGTTAGTTAGTTAGTTAGTTAGTTAGTTAGTTAGTTAGTTAGTTAGTTAGTTAGTTAGTTAGTTAGTTAGTTAGTTAGTTAGTTAGTTAGTTAGTTAGTTAGTTAGTTAGTTAGTTAGTTAGTTAGTTAGTTAGTTAGTTAGTTAGTTAGTTAGTTAGTTAGTTAGTTAGTTAGTTAGTTAGTTAGTTAGTTAGTTAGTTAGTTAGTTAGTTAGTTAGTTAGTTAGTTAGTTAGTTAGTTAGTTAGTTAGTTAGTTAGTTAGTTAGTTAGTTAGTTAGTTAGTTAGTTAGTTAGTTAGTTAGTTAGTTAGTTAGTTAGTTAGTTAGTTAGTTAGTTAGTTAGTTAGTTAGTTAGTTAGTTAGTTAGTTAGTTAGTTAGTTAGTTAGTTAGTTAGTTAGTTAGTTAGTTAGTTAGTTAGTTAGTTAGTTAGTTAGTTAGTTAGTTAGTTAGTTAGTTAGTTAGTTAGTTAGTTAGTTAGTTAGTTAGTTAGTTAGTTAGTTAGTTAGTTAGTTAGTTAGTTAGTTAGTTAGTTAGTTAGTTAGTTAGTTAGTTAGTTAGTTAGTTAGTTAGTTAGTTAGTTAGTTAGTTAGTTAGTTAGTTAGTTAGTTAGTTAGTTAGTTAGTTAGTTAGTTAGTTAGTTAGTTAGTTAGTTAGTTAGTTAGTTAGTTAGTTAGTTAGTTAGTTAGTTAGTTAGTTAGTTAGTTAGTTAGTTAGTTAGTTAGTTAGTTAGTTAGTTAGTTAGTTAGTTAGTTAGTTAGTTAGTTAGTTAGTTAGTTAGTTAGTTAGTTAGTTAGTTAGTTATCTGGCTTTCGATTCAAATCATAAATTGATAAATATTATTATGAAGATTAACCAGTAGTAGTAGTCGTAGTAGTACTCGAGAGAGTTAGGTCTTCTGTTAAATAAGTTATGACATAGCGCGATGGAGGACGAGCTCCTTTGGAAGTCAGGAGGCCGATGCTTATTCTGACAACCAGAGCAGTCATCAATTTAAAAACATGAGATGTTCGCAAAATGCAATACACGAGAGTCAACCAGGTTTCTGCAGAAATGGAAACACACAGTCAGTCAATTACAACGTAGAACTTCGTACGTACATACACCTGTTCAAGTTGCCATTCCACATTAGCACAGAGATGCAATAGTCGATTCAAATCCCATTAAACGAGAGGTAGTAGACGTATTCGCTGCAATGAGAAAGATTGGGGTTTCAAGATATTATTCCAGAAGTATAATTCAGTGAGGGTAAATTTAGAAAGAACAACATAGAGATGATGAGGGGTTCAGAAGATTAGAATTTTAGAGGACACAATGAATGGATGCACCGGCACCACTGAAAAACGATTTTAAGCCATATCGTTGAAGGTCTCTAACAATCGGCTGGTGTCGTCTCGCGGACCCCAATCAAGTAAGTCTACACCTACCAACATAGCTCAGTCCATTTGTCAATAACTTCATGGATTTGTGCCATGTTTTGATCTAACCACCACTAGCGTTGTTTCAACTTACTCCTACTACACAGAACAAAGTTAATTTGAGGCAGTCGGTGGTCGGGCATACGTAACAAATGTCCTAACCACTTCAACTGATAAAGTTTCAATACTTCACCTATTGATCTTCCATCCTTACCTAGTTCTCGTTTTCATAACAACTGCGTTGTCTACTCAGTGGTCCAAAGATAAACAAGCAATGCTGCAAAGACACCTATGATTCGAAAACCGATAACCTTCGATTGTCCTCTTATTAGCCATGTTTCGCATCCATATATTAGCACGAAGCAATCGGATATCTAGTCTACGCTATAAATGATGCAATTTGGCTGAAACCATTCGAGCCTTCTGTATCTGTGCTGAGATTTAATCAGACACCAAGCCATCAGCACTGATTAGACTCCCGAGATAAGTGAGGCGGTCGACACGCTCAACTGCTTCACTTCCAATTACTATTCGAGGTGCCCATACAAACCAATCCTGAAGCAACATTTCGCATTTCGAGGGGAAACCGCATTCCGAACATGCCTGCATTGTTTTTTAGAGTAGTCATGAGACTCTGTATTTTGTCGATGTCTTCACAATAAAGAACTATTGTAGTGTGAGCTACTTATAAGTAGTATATGACGCAAGTGTAAACGGTATGTCTGGCAGCGGAAGATGGGGGAAGATCAAGAAAGGAAGAGTTAGAACACAATGGAATTTGTATGAAACGCATGAATAGTGACAATGGATTGATGTTTTGCAACAGGAACAGTCCAGTTCGATATGATGGATGATGCAAATGAACGATTTACGATATGGTTTTCCAAATTTACTGAGTAACTCAGTAATTTTCGTTAAATACAATTCGGTTGCCCCACTTGTGTTCTCGTTCACTACACTATGTCATCGGCATACTCTAAGTTATCCAGTGAATCTCTCGGTAGAACGTGCACTCCTAAAAATACAGACGAAGGTAATGTTATATCAAGAAGCAGGTCTGTGACAGAACTAAACAATAATGAAGAAAGTGGAGATTCCTGACTTACATCTTTTGAAGTAACCAGTGACAGTTCGCCTTACACGGTGTTGGCAGCCAGGGAGTAACATCTACCGTGATACCCGTAAAAGCACACGAGACCTAATCGGTCAGAATGAAATCCTTTCTATACCTAACAGATGCGATCAATAAAATCAAAACAAAGGTTTCAGGTCAACAGTAACCAGTCAAGGTTAACAGAACAAGCTACGGGTCAAACCTGGAGAAATTCGAATACTTCACTTCTTCTATCTGAAGTTTGTGCTGATGATGTAGTTCAGCAGAAGAATATTGAAAACTCCACAACGAAAACATCCAGCTCAGAGAAAGAAACCCCACCTCAATAGATCAAAATCTGAAACTTGAAAGTACTTAATTACGACTGTGTCTTATCCTAGTGTGAATCTCAACAACAATACGCATTCATTACCGTCGAAAAACCCACGATCGAACTCTGGAACTTTTATGAAATTCTTGTTTATGTACTTACTATATTACTTATTAGTAGTCAGGGTTCATCTATTGTTTTTTTGTGAATCGATCATTTTTCATGTGAAGGCCTGTTTTACAATTAATTGATAACCTCACATTATAAAACAAATGAATTCAACTACTATTTCAGAAAAACCTTAACCTCATCAGTGTTTTGTATGCAAATCGTTTAACAGCCATCCATTCCTCTTCTTCTTATTATTATTATTTTCTATAGCCAGAACGTATTCATCCAGAATTAAGCGCTAATGGTTATGATATACGTTCAGATGTATGGAGTTTAGGCATTACATTAATTGAATTAGCGACTGGACAATTTCCTTATCCAACATGGAATTCTGTATTTGAACAACTTACATGTGTATTACATAATGATCCACCAAGTTTACCGGAATATTTACCAAAATCAATACAAACTTCATCATCTACTATGACACTTGTTAATGTTGAATATTTGAATAATTCTACCAATACTACTAATAATAATATTAGTAGTAGTATTAGTAGTAATAGTAATAATAATAATCATAACGATGGTGTTCATCAGTCAAATGAATCGAGTACAGATTTTTCAATGGAATTTCGTGATTTTATTACAAATTGTTTAAAAAAAGATGTGAAATGTCGACCGAAATATCAAGCACTTATGGTTGGTTTGTTTAAATTCTATTTTCATTTTTGTTTTAAAGTTGAATTCAATATTTGTTTTAACCAAGCGTTTGAAATCATAAATGGATCAATGTTCGGTCACCATTAGAAACTTGAAAGTAATCCTGATATGGAACTGACTCATCGGTGACCATGTCGGTAGTTGTCGACTGCCATCTGGTTGGGGTCAGCGAGATGATGGTAGTAATCGATGGTTAGATAGATACCCTGAATGACATGGCTCAAAATCGTTCGCAATGGAGCCGGCGCATTTATTCTTTGTGTTCACTCAAATCCTAATCTTCTGGATTCCTCAACCCCTCTAGTTTTGACTGTCTAAACTTTTCTCACTTGAATCATACTTCTTGAATAATATGTTCTAATCCTAATCTCTCCGATTACTTCTAATATCTTTACTACCTCTTCTACTATTGGATTTGAATTGACAATTACATCTCTGTGCTGATGTGGTATGGCAACTTAAACTGATGTACTTACGTACCTGCGAAGTTCTACGTTGCATCTGACTGACTGACAGTGCCCATCCACGACAGCGAACCCACGATCTCGTGCCTGAACGCTTAACCTCTAAACCAAACGAGCCGGCATCCAACGGTGTTATTGGCTAACTCCAATCAATCCACGGTCTTAAGCAACCACATCCAATTTCTTCTTCAAGGACACTGCTTCGTAGCTGATAGGGTTTACTTCCATTGATCACGGTTTTTCACTAAAACCTGGAGGAATTTTCTTACGGAGCTAGTCACCAATGAGCATATGATTGTCATTATAACAGGATTGTGAAGATTGTTATGTTTCGTTTAAATCTTGAGTCGATCAAAGTTAAACCGCCATTAAAACACCTGGAACTATAATTTACATTATGGCTAATTTTAGTCCTACTAATATGAAAATTTTCTCCCCGTAGTAGTTAGTACATGTACACTCCAACAGTACTCGATCGGCAACAAAATCTAATTCCTTAACCTTTCTCAGTTGATTGCTTACTTACTTACCCCTAATGAAGCATAGGCCACCGGGATGGAGATGCTAATCACAACATGCTCAATTATCCTCATTTACTCTATCTTAGGAACGACAATAACCTTAGAAAGCATCCAAGCAGTGTGCTTAATGTTGATGCTTGATATTTTATAAATTAAATTAACTTCTTATTGTTGTCGCTGACTCGACGAGTTATGTTTTGTAGTGAAGAGGTAAACTGAAAGAAAGGTAGGGGTGCCCTAAACAACATTAAGTCAGTGACAACTGGAATGAGCCATGTTAGTAGGTGTAGACTACCTGGTTGGGGTCCGCGAGAAAAATAGTAACCGATGGTTAGAGACCTTGAATGATATGCCTAAAAATCTTCAGAATTCTTCATCACCTTTATCTTTCTCCTTTATCTTCCTGCTTACTGCTAATACTTCTACTACCTTCTAATACTATGGGATTGTTATCGACAATTGCGTCTCTGTGCTAATATGGTATGGCAAATTGAACTGATGTACGCACGTACAAAGTTCCACGTTGTAACTCACTGAATTTTTTTAAAACGTTTAATAAATTCACTATTTTACAATTGGATATGATTGAATTCTACTAGTCATAAATAACATTTTTTCATGAAAAACGTTCACGATTTTAAATTTTGCGAATTTCAATTTATTAGTAAGATAATTGTATCATTATGATTTTTTGTGTGTGACGCGCACTACTACTGGTAAATACACATTTGAAATCATCAATCAATCTTTGTTAGACCACCACTGGAAGTCTGGAAGCACTGAAAGACGGCCCTTTTCATCCTGGTATCGGACTCATCAGTGGCAGTGCTCATCCACGACTGCTGCACCGCGCAGGATTCGAACCCGGGACATTCGGTATTGTGCGCGAACGCCTAAACATCGGACTACTGGACTGGCCGGTATCCAAGGATGTTAATGTCTAACTTTGATTGACCTACAGATTTCGCGTAACCTCATTCATTCATTGTCTTTGGTTGTGACTACCTACACCCAACAGGGTGTCTTCTCACTAGAACTCCGACAATTTCTTCACAAAAATAGTCACTTGTGAGCACATGGTGAAGTAGCCGTCCAGTATTTCCAGTTTTATAACGGTGGTCTAACAATGATTGATTGATTGATGATGTCACTGTGTAAAAAAACACTAATCTCCATAATTCTAATTGAAAAATACTGATAAATAGTCTCATAATCTATACAAACACAGCCATTGGATACTTTCAAGTCTTTCTCATAGGTACAGTTTTAACATTGATCGATTCATTAGTTCAATCGAAAAAATCCAACTGATCTTTTAATCATTCTCTGTAAAATGAAAATTGTAATACATGCCATCTACGATCATCGATGTCTCCTAAGCATTGCTCGTGTATCCTGGGACAAACGTATAAGCAATGCTATCGTTAGGAAACGAGTTCTAAGTAAAGTTGGCAAACCAATAGATGAAATAGTGAAACTTCATCAGTTGAAGTGGTTTGGACATGTGTCAAGTATGCCTAACCATCGAATGCCTCGACAAGCTATGTTTTATGGTGTAGGAGTAGATTGGAAGAAAGCTAGGGGCGGACAAACTAAGGAGTAAAGTAGTCGAACGTGTAGATCGCTTCACTTATCTTGGGAGTCTCATCAGTGCTGATAGCTTGGTGACTGACGAAATCTCAGCTCGGATACAGAAGGCTCGATTGGCTTTTACCAACCTGCGTCACTTATGGCGTAGGCGAGATATCCGTTTGCTGACTAAAGGACGAGTGTACTGTGCAGCAGTCCGCTCCACTGTTTGTGTGCTTTTTAATTCCTACCTTCTGAATTCCTTATAATCTCTACCTTTCTCCTTCTAAATTTATCTCACTGAATTATACCTCTCGAATCATATCTTTGCACCCTAATCTTCTCTATTGCTGCTAATACTTCTACTATCGCTACCACTCTTGTAATTGAACTGACAGTTGCGTCTCTGTGCTGACGTCGTGGTATAGCAAACTGAACTAATGTACTTATGTACGAAGTTCGTTCTATCTGTCTGTCTGCAATGCATTACTATTATTATTATAATTATACTTAGTATTATGCTAACTGTCTCGATTGATGTATGCATTTAAATCTTATGTTTTTATTCCTTGTTTTATAAAATAGCATCATCCATTCTATACACGATCATTAAATGAATCAATTGATATTGGAAAATATTTTCAATCAATATTCAATCAAGTCCCACCACAAATGAATATGAATGAATTTAGTCAAAAATCATAATTGCTGCTCCCTGTTGTTGTTGGTACATATAGTGAGTGTCTGTCCCCTCTGTTTGTCTGTCGCTCCTAACTTTTTCATTTCCTTTTCTATTGGTTTATTCATTGTTCATTATTCAATCTTTATTTTAAACCAAAAAAAACTTAAACACACATTGTATCATTATCATTCCATGATTTATTACGGTTTGTACGTTGTTTTTTAGTATTCACGTGATTATATATATATAAATATTATTTGTAGTAGGACAAACACAACATCACTTCAATCGTGTGTCTTATTTTCAAATTTTGCGCCGTACGAATAAGGTCACTGTTGTGTTTTTGTGGTACTTTAGATAAACACACTCACTATAAGGCGGCAGTTCAATATTCAATTGTTTTCTCACCGGTTTCATTGTACAATTTTTTCTTTATGTTCATTATGTATGTATATTATTTATTCACTGCAATTCTTATTTAAATAAGTAGATAGTATAAGTAGTATGGATGGATGGATAGTAGTAGGTAGGTAATAGTATCATTTGAACTATATATATATATATATATATATATATATATATATATATGTATCTTGTTTGCTTATGTTCAAACATGATCGATTTCTTGTTATTTTATATCGGATTGGCTGTGACAATCAAGGGTTTCTCTGTTGTTCATTATTTATCTCCTCAATAAGCGCCATTATTATATATAATATACAAATATATATATATTATTATAATTTTTTTGGAAGTTTTATATCTTCTCAATACTCTGTTATTACTTATTATTTAACACGATTATTATTACTTGTAATTGTACTTGAAATTTTATGAGTGCCATTATCTTGATCATTGATTTGTTATATTGTTGTGACCAGTTTATTTACTTGTATTTATTTACTCAACAATGACAGCAATAAAACAATATATTTTCTTGTGTTTTATGTTATGTTATTTGATGATAGGTATGCTGGTGTGTGTAATGATCTAGGTAGGTATCAGTGTTTAGACCAATCAATTATCATCTGTGTGGGTTAGCTTCCGGAATATACTTAAGTTTCTAGTTTTCCTGTGTTAATTCTGGTGATTAGTACATCCAGGAATGATATACACTGTTGTTTGATTCTTTTTCCATCGTGAATTTTAGATGTCATCGAAGACGTTGTTGATCCGCGATTGTAGATGTTCTCCAACTTATCAAGAGAAATTTCAAGGATGGTGGATGAATCCAACTACTCCATTAAGTCTGTCACAGAATTTTTTGGATAAACTAAAGAGGATTCAAATTTTACAACGACGAAATGATGATATCCTTCGACGTAACAGCCTTATTTACCTCAATAGAGCCAAACTTGGTTAAAGAAACTGCTCCTCATCAACGATACAAATATCCAAAGCTTCAGAGTCAAAGTCTGCTTGAACTCATCGATCTATGCTTAACAACAATTCAATAACAGAGTCTACGAACAAACAAAAGGAACACCAATGGGATCACCAATATCAGGACTTATCGCGGAAGCGGTAATGCAGAGACCGGAAGCGTCGATTTTACCAGTGATCAAGCCAAAATTGTGGGTTCGCTATGTAGACGACACATTCGTTATTATCAAAAGGAATAAGGTGGAGAACATCTACAATCAGATCAACAACGTCTTCGATGACATTAAATTCGCTATGGAAAAGGAATCAAATAACAGCAATCAAAACAAATGTGCAAACAACGACAGGTCAAAAGTCAACAGCAACCAATCAAGATCGAGGTTAGCAGAACAAGCTACAGGATCAAACACGTGGAGAACTTCGAATACTTCACTGCAGTTCTATCTGAAGTTGGTACTGATAATGATGTTATTCAGAAGAAGAACAATGTAAGCTCTACAACCAAAACACCCAGCTCAGAGAACGAAACACCACCACATTTTCCTGTGTTTAATGTTATCTTATTTGATGATAGGCATGTTGGTGTGTAATGATGTAGGTAGGTATCAGTGTTTAGACCAATCAATTATCATCTGTATGACTGTTGGTGGGTTACCCTTTATATTTCATGGCTGCATTGATAAATGTATTCATTTTTTGTTGTTCGTTAAAAATTCGAAGTTTTGAAATTATCTTATAGTTATCAGTCAGTTGTACGGTAGACACATTCGTACGTACGTACGTACATCAGTTCACGTTGTCATAACACCTTAACACAGACGTAATTATCAATTCAAACCCCATAGTGGTGCATAGGTAGTAGAAGTGGTAACAGTAATCAGAAATTTTACGGTTCAAGGATATTATTCCAGAAGTATAATTCAGTGAGGTAAATTTAAAAAGAGAAAGAGATAATGAGGAGTTCATAAAATGAGAATTTGAAAGAACACAGAGAATGGATGCACCTGCACAATTGCAAACGAACCATATCGTTCAAGGTCCCTAACAATCGGTTAGTATCGTTTCGCAGACCCCAACCCGATAGTCTACACTTACCAACGTGGCTCAGTTTAGTTGTCATTGACTTCAGGTATTTCTGCCATGATTTGATTTGTCCACCCTGTTAGGATATTCATCCAAATCCTAAGCGAATTATTGGTTAATTCTTACTGATCAATTTTATGGTCGTCCTAGACATCAATGTCATGTACTCCAATGTTGTTTCTTATTGGTTGTCCTGACTATCAGTGTCACTTCAAATGTTTCTTATTGGTCATCTTAACTGCAGATTTGTCACAGACTTCGATGCTGTTTCCTATCCAACCTAAATGTATAAATACGCATTATGTGTAACGTTTTATGACCAGGACCCGGTCCCGGATCCCTAGTCCGAGATCCTGATTCTCTTCTGGACTCGGACGTCGTACTTTCTGGATGCTTGTAGAATACATGTTCTACTTCATATCAAGCTTTCTTCTTTTGTCCAATGGGTGTTGGGATAATCGGATTTGAGTAGCATGTCGTGTCTCTGGATCCTCGATCCTCGCTCTCGTTTTCCGACTAGGTAAACTCGTTATAGTTCAAGCATAACAAAACGGCGTATTTACGTGCAGCCGCAACACCCCCCTAGTTTTCAAACAATTTACCCCTACACAGCAATAGATAGCTTGATCAGGCAGTCAGTTTTTTGGGTATATACATAGAATATGTCGCAACCACTAATGGATATTCATCACTCCATCTATTGACCTGTCACCCTTACCTAGTACCCTTTTCCTAACAACTGCAACGCATACTCGACGGACCCAGGATATATGAGCGATGCTCCGGAGACACCTATGGTCAAATACTAATAGCTTTCGAATATCCTCTACTTCTACCCCAAGTTACGCATCCACATAGTCAGACGGATTGAACGACTTCGCAGCGAACTTTCTGTTCAGCAGATGAATATCTCGATACGCACGTTAAAAAATGACAGTCGAGCCGTTTGTTTGTGTCGGGAGTTCACCGATACTGACTTCCAAGATAAGTGAAGTGGTCAATATGCTCATCTCACTCTCTATCACTATTATAGGTGCTGACCCAAGCTAATCATGTAGTAACATTTTGCGTTTCGCGGGGTGTCGCATCGAGAACATGCTCTCATTGTTGCTTAGGTTCTTCGGAAAACTGCATTTGGTCTTCGCCAAGTAGAACTG